CACTGTCCAGAACAGGAGCTTCTGAACAAAACCAAAGACCACAGTAAGCAGTCTACAGACACTTTTGAAGTAAAGATGCCTCATTTCAAAATTAGTAAATTTTAAGAAGCACAAGCCACAGAGAAGTCCACAGCAAGTTGTGGCTTCCAAGCACTTTGGAAGCAACAGGTTGTACTAGAAAGACAAGCTACTGTAAAAGTGTAGCTGTGGGATCAAACCCAGCCCTTTCTCCAACTCCTGTAACTCAGCAAAGCCCCTTCTCTGCGTAGCAGATGGTGAGGTGGAGATGGGAATTGTTGCTTGTACAGGAGGGCTGTGACTGTGCAGCCCTGACACAGTGGCAGCTGATCAGCACCTGCATTCTTCCCCTCAATTAGAGGCAGTTAACACCACCTGCTCATCCTTCCTTCTTTTGCCCTGAAAAGATTTCAGAAGCAACAGTCCTACTGTTTGCAGGACAGTCTTCCCCAGCAGTAGAGAAACAGATGACACTGCGCACTGAGGAATGATAAAGCCTGTTTTGGGACTGGGGGAAATCACACCAACCTTTCCTGCCCAAAGAAATTGCCATCAGCAGCCAGTGAGACAGTTCTCAAAGGGAGCTAAAAAGATGAGTTAGTGCAGAGAATAGTACTCACAGCACGGAAACACAAGACCTGAAACAGGTTCACTCCCAGCAGACCGAAGCGTGGTGAACCTGCGAACAAAGGCCATGACAACAGCCGCCTTCCACAGAAAGTTCCGAGATTTGCCATGTCTGCTGCTTCTACTTTTGTAAGACTTGACACTCTCAAGAACATATGTTAATTTTATTTTTTTTTAAGGGAAAAAGTTCTGCTCCAAAGTTGTTCTGCTTCCATGAGGAAATCTGCAAAGGCAGACACTCTTCATTGAGCCAAGGGGTGAGAAGGAAAGACCCAAACTGCTGGCTGTTGATAATTCCAGGAATAGGATAATTGTAGGAACAGTCTGATTCATCGAGACTCAGCAGGTGCAAGCAAATTAAGGTCTTCTCAAAGGAAGCAGGACACTTCTTAGGAGAGAGACATAAACCTTGTTTCTGAATATGAGCTTCCTTCCCAGACCTGCGGCAGCAGGACAGAGATTGCCAGCGTGGAAAATGACTGCTGATGGCTGCAGTTCTCCACCCAGGTCCTGCAGGTGGATGGCAACACTTTCCTTCAAAAACTCAGCTATCACCTGGCATCCTTCCAGTGAAACACAGATAACAAGAGCAGCTAAAGTCACCACAGGCCAGGAATGGCTGGCAGATATACTGGTGTTAGAATCAGAAAAAGCCTCGGAGCAAACAACTAAGCCTGCAGAAAGACTTGATGTCCTGCAGTGCTCTTGCTCTGCTGTCTGTTAAAAGTTCAGGTCCTATTTGAGTCCACATCCCAAGCAAGCCCCTAGGATACTTAATTAGCACAGATCCACTGATATATGAAAAAACTATGAATTAGAATTACAGCAAAACCTAAGCTCAACACTACAGGTATTAAAAAAACCCCAACAACCCAGCAATTGCACCATGACGGCAAAACTGAAGATTGACAGGGGCTGTACTGCCACTCATGATCCCCAGTGAAACCACACTCATGAAATAAAATGGAAAAGGTTTCAGTATTATCACAGCTACCACAGCCACGAATGGCTGGAACCTGCTAATTTGCTAACAAAATAGGCTCTCAATAAAATGATTAGTGATAGCAACACACAACATTCATGACTGGATGATCCACAAATACCTGCTACAATAGGTTTGGCAAGAGTCAAGGCTTTCAGGCAGGGCCAGAATTAAAAAGAGAGTGATCCCACTGTAGCCACAAGTGATATTAGAATACTGGCCCACTCAGAGGAGTTAAAAGGCTTTTAAACAGGAATAAGCAAAGGGCTTGTTGTGTCTCAGGGCAGGAAACACTGAACAATTAGTTTTGCTGTATGTTACAGTACTACTGAAAGATTAAAGTAAAAAAATATATGATATTGTCTAAATAAATCTTCTAGCATTATTAATTTAAGTCTGTGCAACAGTATGTGACTAATGTTCACTGGCAAAATTAATTTCAACTAAAAAAAAAAAATTGAGATCTGATTACAGCAATTAAGAAATCTACATCCAATGCAGCCTGCCCATTAACAGCCTACCCCTGCAGCATCTTCATATTAGAGGTTGTTATATTCTTCCTAATAGTAAGAATTTTTGCCCATAATTAGTATTTTTTCCCCTATGTTAAAAAAATCATGATGTTCTTGAAAACATTTTTCGTAATCAAGCAGGGCTTAAATCTTTAGAGATCCTTGTTCAAACATGAGTGGGGATAAACATTAACACCATCAGGCATTGACTAATCAGTTAATAATAACTTCCACCTCAGAAATCCAAGGCTGGAAACACACTGCTGGAAATATGCTGGGTTTATGCCATCTCAGACCACAACCAGGACATAGTCAGAGCATCACGTTCGGGAGGAACAGAGTTCATCACCTTTTAGAAGAGGATCTCTGGGTTTTCAGCTTTGCAGTAAATGGGGCTGACTCAATCTAACCCTTATCTAACATGACGTTGCCATTGTGATATAAATAGCATCTTATTTGCCTGCTTCAGAAGAACAATGTTAGTCAAGAAAAGGTCAAATGGTTCTGCTAGAGGGAAAAAGAGCAAAAACCTTTTGTAATTTAATATTGCCCTATTTTTTCTGGAAGAGAGGAGACTCCAGGTAGTAGTCACATAGGAGGGAGAAGAATACAGAAGAGAAGACAAAGCATATTTATCTAGTCTGCAGTAGCACAAAGCAATAATATTTCAATAATTTCTTAAGGCCCAGGAGGAACTAGTATTCAGCCAGCATCTCATCTTTACTTGGAATCTTGCAAACTCTATAGACAAAGTCTGCTCAAACCTGCCTAATCTGACAATGCAGAAATAAGTTATAGCTGCAGGCAAGTCTAGAACAGATATATTTGATACACCTACTAGTGAATGTATATTTTCTTATTCCACAATGCTTACTGCATTGATGCTTTCATTTAATAAAGCACTAATAAACATGACTTTTCAACTAATAAAGCACTAATAAACGTGAATTTTACCCATAGCTAGCCACATTGATCTGTTTTAGCCAAACAGGGAAAATACCCAGTTTTAAGTCTCTGAATACATTACACAGCCTGAGGTTACTGCTACTAACCCTCAGATAAGCACTATAAAAATACCCACATGTATTTATTAAGGTTGCTTTCAAGCATTTTTCTTATCCTACAGAAAAGAAAGCCGTTCTGTTACAAAATTTGCATGCAAGACAGGCTGGTATATTTATACACAGTAGAACTACACAAATACATACAGCTGGGAAGTGAAATTTCTACAAATTACTACAGGAAGGTGACCCAAAGCCTGATTTATTGCTAGCTTTTATTGCTTGCTTTTATTGCTTCCAGCACACTGGTAATCTATGCACATGGCAATACTTCAGGACTAATGGAAATCGGTAAACAAGGTCACAGGCATGTCAAACAGTTGCTTTGCACAGTCTATCCTTGCAGGTCCTGTTTGATAGAATGGCACCGAGCTTTCCTTGTGTCATCTGCGCTGTCTGTGCCACTCGCTGGGTGCAGCCTGCACCTACAGCTCATGGGATGCAGGGTGGAATACATCCCACTCACTGGAAATGAGGGTAATTGCTAAACTTGTGATCAACCAAATTAGAAAGCAAAATAATTACAGCAAATTTCCCCTCAGGCCATCTTCTGCAGACTACAAAAGGGCTTCTAAGATACTCCAAAGATATATCCCTTCTTTCCTGGGAAATACCACACATTGAAAAATAATTGTTTATCATTAAATGAAGTTGGAGCATGTAAGGTGAATGAGATATCTGACTTGACTGGAATCATGTGTTTGGCCCAGACCCTGTGATGCACAGGCTGACAAGTCAGCTTGCAGGTTATTTTTGCAAAACATCTTTATGCAGTGACTTTAAGCCTTCAGGCTAAACATAACATGGTACAAAGGGCTACGAGAGAGAATGCAGCAGGTCTGCTCAGTAGCCATCCTTTTCAGTCTAAATAAGAAAATTTGAGATGCAGCAGCAAAGACAACAAAATAAATACACCAGCAGTAGTCTATACAATCTGCACAAACAGAATGAAAGGCTCCAGCTATTATTCCAGCCTTAAAGTAAAGCATCTCCTCGAGTCGTGACTTGCAGAGGGATTTCGCTTTCCACGCTGCTTTGTGAAGGTGGAGTGAATCTCACCAACTGCTGAAGGCAGCGTGACACCCTGCACCACGGGCAACACAAACAGACATTGTAAGGGCACACAACACATTTGAAGCAAAAAGAGGTAGCACTGAAGTCTCATTGAAAGAAAATGAATCAGAGGGAAGAGAGTTCAGCAAATCATGCATCTTCTGGCATTCTGAACTCAAACCAGAAACGCAAAAAGAATTAAATCATAAAATTTATGACTAATAGATTTTTCTTTGGACTTCTGAAAAGTTCTTGAAGATTCTGAGCGTGTGAACCTTAGGTAGGAAGACTGGAATTGAGGATTTGAAAAAGAAATGAAGTCAAGTTTGATGTTTATCTAATAAAACAAAATCCAGTGCCAAAGCTTGAATAAAACAAGACAATTCAATGGTTCTAGCACTATACATTCAGGAATTGCATTTTCCAACTGCCATCTGGAATTCTATTTTTTTATTTTAAATGCATAATGGGGAAGTAAAACACAATAGCTTGTACCTTCATGTCCTCAGGCTTGTTTGTTTGTTTGTTTTTAAACAAGGGACCTATACAGATAATGACTGGTTACGATCACCCAGAAATACCTAAAGAAAATGAGTTTTTCAAAATGCCCCATCCAAACACATTAGCAATTAGAATCTCCTCCTCAAGTTTCCATTAGTCTGTCAAAACAAGAAATAATCTTATAGCAGCTCTGACTTGAAATCTTGAAGATCATCACATTGATTGAATTTCAAAGTATAGACTTACAAATTCGTAGTCTCCATCCTGTGGTACTTTCCAATCAGATGAATTTTTTGTCTGGCCAGACACATTCTTCCCAAAGCTATTGATTTGATTCTCCTTCTCCTTCTGCTCAAAATATTCAAGGAATGATGGTTTGGCTGGCTGCATCGTTTCATCTCTCCCTGGAAATATTAAAAAATGAAAAAACTCAGTTGTTTTGAAAAATATATTTTCCGTTACACTGCCTTACACCATGCCCAAAAGTGATTTTATTTTTTTAGTGTATACTAAAGCCCATAGTACTGCTAATGTACTATTTTTTCAGCAGCTTTTCAAATATAAAATTGACTATACAGTGAGAAAACTGAAGAAGAGAAGCTTAAAGCCCACCACACAAGTGATTACAATGCTGGAGGCCTTGGCCTCTAGACCTACAATCCATCCATCAAAGCGCTACCAGGTAACCAAGCTCCATGCACTGAATGCCAGAACTAAACTGCTACCAACTAGAAAGGTCGGGGCTTTTTTCATCCCAGCCAGGTTGCATGCACTGCAAAATACACAACATTCCAAAAGTAAACAGTGTTGTTTTACAAGCAAAAACTCATCTTTATGTTTATTAATTGGACAGTACAAAAATGAGGCTTTCAAAGATCACATCTACCATACAAATATCACATAACTTGCCTGGGGTAGAAGTAATCAACTTCTACATTTCTTAGGTAGAAAGGATTAATTAATTTGCAAAGCTTCTTTTTTTCTTTTTATAAACAGTCAGTGAGTAAGTTTTCAAGTTTACTGCCCTAGCTTTCTTTTTGTAAGTTAATTCCTCTGAATACACTTTCTTAGTGGATTACTTGAATAAACCAGATATAGTTTAACCATTCAATTCTAGACTGTATTTAAGAAAACTGAGGTAATAGGAAATGAGCAAAGGTAAAACAGAGACAGAGGAGTCAAAATAACCCCCTAAATAGGAATACTTTGATTTTTTAAGAGCAGGTCTTATAAGCCTCCCAAGCACCACTCTCAATAACAGAGTTCACACATACTGATAGGAGAAGAAAGGATACAGCCAAGAGCACAAAGCTTTAGCACTAGATTTACATTATTCTTATTTGTCTAAATTATGATTTAGAACAAGCAGAAGTTAAAAAAAAAAGAATGCTGCTGATCCATTAAGAGCAACGAGTTAGGAGAACTACTTTCTCACAAGGTTCCCTGGTGTGTTGAGTAGTTGGTGGGATTAGGGATCTGAGCAGTAACGTATCCCTCCTTCCTTCAGTCATCACACCATCTGAATCTCTGCTTGGGATTTAAGTACTATCACATACAAATAAATCTACAACCCATTCAGCAAACAGGTTTCCAACACTGAGGAAGAAATGCAGAGTCACAAGATCCCAAATCCAAGCAAATCCCCAGTGCTGTCTGGAGAGAGAGGTGGTGGGCTCCACGAACGGAGGCAGCTTCAGCTGTAGGGTGACAACAGCACACAGGGAAGGAAATGATGAAAATGGAGAGAGTGAAAATACTCATTCCTAGCAGAGAATGCTTAAGAGCCAATATGGGAAGAAAGCACAAAATTTAACTTCACAGCAAGTCAAGACTGAAAGACCTTCACTCTCTCCAAAGAAAGATTTCTTTACTAGCACAACTGGTACAGCATCAAGTGCTGCCCAGACTACTCACACTTAAAACTGGCCTGTCCTGTTACACTGCAGCTAATATCGTGTAAAGAGTATAAATCTAAATGAGGAGGCAGTCTTGCACAGAAAACATGCTTTAACAGGGCTGCAATAAAGACTACTCACAGCTTAATGCCATTGTGCTGCTCTTTAATGATGAAGTGTTTCAAAAAAACCTCTGAGCATAATGGAAGTAAGCACTGTAACAATGCCCAGTAAAATGTTTTTGTTCTGATAAAATATGATTCTCTAGACACTGGAGGAGGTTAATCATACTTGAAACATTATGTTTTAGGCAATGCAGAAACCATCAGTTTCAGAAAGCAGGATCAGGACCAGAGTTAACAGAAAATGGCATCAGAATAGTCTAATTCTGGACTGTGGAAATAAGTTCACTGTCAAATGCCGTTCACTTGAAATGGATATAATCAGTCAGGCAGGCAAGCAACCAAAAGGTTAGAGCTCCAGACAAGCACACAGGGGATGGAGCCATCCTTTGAGGGGTTCATGGGGTCTGCACAACACAGACTCTCCTACGAGAGTTTGTACAGAACAGCCCTCACTAAGGACACTCAACAGTGCTTTCCTCTTGAAAAAATATTAGCTACTCTGGGAACCCACTAAGATTTAATCACTGAATATTATTCTTGCACATAAAATTGCCATCCAGTGATCCAGAACTTCCTTGGCAGACTCTGTCTGATCCTCAGACAAGTGTATGAATTCCTTGGTCAGCTATGAGATACTTTAGGAAGTTATTTGTCTATAGACACGTTAAATACAGAACAAATTTCCACAAAGTACGAGGAATCTTGGCAGGGTATTTGGGTTGTGATACCGAGAGAAGTGTGGCTCTACACAGCCTGAAATGTCACGATGCATTCTGAAAAAGCACTGCATCGTGCTGCCTCTCCAGGGTCAGCTGAAAGCTCAAGCATGAACTGAAGTGCTTATACTTTTGCACTATGACAACTGGAGCAAAGACAAATTATTCTACCCCTGGCAGGAGTTCCCCTTTTTTTTAAATAAAAAACAAAACCAAAATCCTCCTCGTACAGAATTAGATCAAGAAAGACACCTTCAGACAGGCTGCGTGAAGGTCAGTCAGGAAACACGCCTGCGAAGTCGAGAACAGATTTGCTGTTGGGAATAATTACTGAAATATAATAGCAATCCAATTACTGCTAAGTGATCAAACATTTATTTAGAAGGAAGTAAATACACCCTTTGTATTCTGCTGCAGTGCAGCCTGTTTGAAGCAGGAGGTAAGTTGTTATGGCCAATCGTGGCAATATTTAACATCAACAAATTTTGTAGAAATAGAAGAATCCATAACTACCTAGGCTAATCTATATCCAGCTTACTGACAGGCAGCCCAGCTCTCACTAATTCAGGCTTCCTAGAAGGGGAAAAAAATAAAATAAAAAAAGAAAATCTAAATCAAGCTTGTTCTGTATGTTTTGAAAATAACTGCAACACAGGAGACTTTGAAAGCAAGTGTTTCCCTGCAGTGACATTGGCTTATTCAGTTCTTTTCTATTTATTTACTTGCAAACAAAACCACTGTTCACTCACACCAGAGCTTAATCCAGTGTCAAAGTAGTCATGCTCATTTCCCCGCATCTTGTATTTTACCAAGAACTGCAATATTTGTAAGTAAATAGTTACATCTATTGAACAACAACCTATGGTAGCATCACTGGATTATTAAAAGGCATATCCAAACCCAAGCTTTTAATAAAACTTCTGTTTTCATACAGGAATGAAACAGACAAAGGAGGAGGCACACAAAGTGGTGCTGGTAGTCTATAATCCTGATGAGTACAACTGGATTTTCAGCCCCACCAGTACAAGTGACAGAAAAGCTGGGGGTTGCAGCAGAAGGCTGCTGGGACACTGGAGGGGTCTCTGCTGTGCTGAGAGGGTGGGAAGAAAGTAGAGGGGGGAGGAAAGAGGGGTTGTTCAGCCAGGGGAGGGCAGGAGGGGCTCTAGCTGTAGTCTCCCACCCCAACAGGCCACCAGAGCCCTGCTCTCCCCAACGAAAGGGTGAGAGGAACGGTCTGAAGTGCAGCAAGGGCAACTCAGCTGAACATCAGGAAGAAAGTTTTCACAACAGGGATGGTTGTGCAACAGAGCAGGGCTGGGAACGACTGTGCAAGGGCCTGAGCAACCGGATCTGACATTGCACTTGGTCCCAGCCACCACACAGGGAACCAGACTGATGACCTCCAGAGGTCCCTGTCAAGCCAAGCTCTTCTGCAACTCATGTTCTTCACACCCACTGATGCCTCTAACCTTGCAGTCACCTTAGGCCTTTCAAATGCATGCAACATTTAGTCACCAATTTTACTACATTTCTACAAATCAACATGTAAAACTACATCTTTATTTAGTGTTGGTTTGGTTTTTGTTTAAACTGATGAAAATAGACATTGTTAACTGACAAAGAATGGAACAAAAGACAATATAAAATGAAAAATATCCTGAAGACAGATCTACAATGCCTGAAATCTTAGTTGCTGCTATGATCTCAGTAGGGGTGAATATGCAGCAAGACTGATAGAAACGCTCCTGGAGACAAAAAGACATTACACCAAATCAATTATCATCCCAGCACGACTGGATTTCTTTTCATCAACCTTGGCACTTAACAGCAGTGTCATCTTTCCAAAGATGAGCTGCTATTAATTCAACACAAGAATCACACTGCTATATCTTTAAGATTTTGATAACAGGCAGCTGAAGACAAAAATCGATCACTGCTATTTGCAGAAGCAGATGCTGCTGAAAGATGACACTGCACTAAACGTGTCTGTGCCAAAAAGCATTTAACTTCCTAGTTTTATAGGGTTAGACTAAAATATGAACATTTGACAGCAAGTGAGATCACAAGCGTGGCAGAGAAGAGCCTTTTATTAGAAGGTCACCCTGCAGTGACAAAAAAAGGCTTCTCCATGCATTTATTTTGGAACCTAAAGAGTTGCTTATAAGGATGAATCGTGAGAGCTATTAACAGTCTACCATTTAGAGGTGCAGTCATCTTTTTAGGAGCTGTATTAATTACACAAATGGAGCAACACAGCTCTGCTGGAGCCTGTCCAGCTGACTGCAGAATTGCAGGTTTGGGCTAGCTGTACGGAGCCACAAGCACTGGGAAGACCACTCCATTCAGCCTGCCTTGCAGCGAAGAGCAGATTTCCCTCCATGGAAAACTTCACATGTGCTGCCTGGCATAAAGTCATAGAATCATAGAATGGTTTGGATTGGAAGGGACCTTAAAGCTCATCCAGTTTCAACCCCCCTGCCATCAGCAGGGACACCTTCCACTAGATCAGGTTGCTCAAAGCCTCATCCAGCCTGGCCTTAAACACTTCCAGGGAGGGGGCATCTACAACTTCCTTGGGCAACCTGTTCCAGTGTCTCACCATCCTCACAGTGAAGAACTTCTTCCTAATATCTAATCTAAACCTACCCTCATGC